TGTCTTGAGAAAGGAATTCATAGAGAAAAGAGGAGCTCTGAAGCACCTGTAGCCAGTACCACTACAGTATGGCAGATACCAGTGAGAAGCCAGATGATTTTATTTCAGATTGCTCCTATAACTATGATGAGCTAACATCATGGAAAAATAGAGGATGATGAAACATCAAAGGTAAGAAGAGGAAAGCATGCTGTCTTCACGTTGTCATAAAAGATGGTTGTTCGGTGTACTTGCTCTTTCTCTTAAATATCCCAACCAAAAATTCTTTTCTCGATCTGCTGCAAACTCCTTCTGCAACTCATACCTTTTATAAAAACAAAACAAACTAACAACAATTTTTGTCCTATCAATTTGTCTATTTGTAACAGAAAACAGTGTCTCACTTAGATCACCTTATCAGGTACCAAAAATAATTAAGAAATATAAATCAATCAGTCCTTGAGAATAATCACGGAAATAAGGAGATACATATTATACCATATTACTATTTTATTACAAATAGGATAACAAATGGAATCAAGATGAAGTAAGTAAGAATACGAGGTACAGGAAAATCTCCTATTTCAAATAACAGCTTACTTCAATTTGAGTTCCCACAAGACAAGAAGTATACCATGTTATGAACTCATACAGATACTTTTTAAATAGAAAAGTTACATCTCAAAATGTAGTTTATTCAATGCTTACTAGAATTAAATGAAAGAAACTTTTATTTCACCATGTGTTGTGCTCTGTTTATGTGGCAGAATGGAAAGAAGAAATTCAAAAATATTTGAGAAAACAGACACTTGGAGAACTCTGTAGTTGTGAGGTCGGCTCAAAAGTTGACCATGGTATCTTATGAAGAGAGACAACTTTTGTGTCTGTGATAAAAAACAACAAGACCAAAAGCAATATATGGAAGAAAGACTTCATTTTGGACTAAGTTTACTAAATCCGTAATGGTGGGGGAAAGCATGCAGTAGGAAGGCAAAATCAAGAGATTACATTTTGATCCACATGTATGAAACAGAGACCAAACTTGAAGGTTGGGCACTAAATCTCTTAAAGTCATTCCATAGAGATATACTTTCCCAGCAAGTCTCTACCTGCCAGTGGTTTTAAAGCTTCCCCAAACAGTGTCACCAGCTGCAGATCAAGCAGTCAAGTAATTGAGCCTCTGGTTCTGGTAACAGACTAAATCAAGATGACTAACCCCTGATGCCTACAGTACCACCAGATACATTAGCTATCTATTGCTTTTATATAATAAATTAATGTATTTATAGATATATGACTTAACATACATGTTTAATCTCACAGCTTTGGCTTATCAGAAATTTTAATGTGATTAACCTGCATTTTATTTAGTGTCTCACTAGAATATAGTCAGAATATTTGCTCATACCTTCTTGTTAGTGTATCTATAGAATATTCCACTCCGATGCTCATTTAGATTACTGCAGAATTAATTTATGATTATTTCTTTTTATTTTTTCAACAAAAAGTCTCCACAGGCTTTTCTGCCTTGTGACTTTATATACAGATTTTCATAACATGGTATTTTTCTCTGTATACAGCTGGTTAGTGGGGATTTTACAGTGTAACAAGCTTGGCATCCTAACAGATTTGCTATTGCCTATTGACTCAAAATGTATCACATATCAAACTCTAACACATGCTAATAGAAATATTTGTACAGAGATATGGAAAGTTAGAGGTAGAAGACGTGGAAAATAATATAAAGTCTAGTGACTCTACTTGAAAAATCTTTTGTTTTACTCTACAATTTTTTGCAGTACTAAGTATTAACTTTCTATTTGTCATGTTGTCATATTCCTTTGGTAATTAAAATGAGATAAAAAGTAGTCAACAACATTAAATGCTGTTTTCCGAGTCTGATAACATAGAAAGTTCATCATTCTAAAATGAATCATAAATTGCCTAGAGCTATTTCTGTACTTCATGGAAATTAAGTAGGAACAAAATTATTCCAAAAGAAAACTGTGTTCATAATACTCATGAGATTGCTTTTAGAAACTAGACTGCTTGCCTGAGCTGAATATTTACCTACAATTTATCAATTTGTGATCCAGTTGTCTATCAACTGTCTCAGTGTCCTTATATATAAAATGTGGATAATATTCATAAGTATATAAGTCTACAGATATTTCTTTCTGTTTTCACACCGAAGCACTATAATAATTATAAAATGAATTAAGTCTTTTAATTTTCGCAGTAAACTTGTGTGTGTGTACAAATATATATATATATATATATATGTAATGAAATATGTTACCCCAAAATATGGAGAAAAATTAAATTATGAGAATTAAATTTGATAATTTAAGTACATGACATAGAACACTGTCTGACATATAGAAAGCACTCAGTAAGTATTATGCATTATCATTATTATGAATAATGATGTGTTCAGTGCTCTGGATGGTATGAAGAATAGACTAAAATATTTACCCTCAAAATCTTACAGAAGAAATAAATAATTCACAAAGAATAATGAAATAATAATCATTGTTATTTTACTTGTTAAATGTAATGTGTCTTAATCTAGAAATTTATCTTATATTATTCAAATCGCAATTCTCTTATATAGTACTTATTTTAACTTAATATGTAACATTCCTATGTGAATTTTGCAATATTTAAAAATGTAATTCTAATTGAATTCTAATTTCCAATTTCTACCTTTCTTACAGCAGTGTACTGTGCAGAAAATATGAATATTTGTCAAATGGAATAATAAAAAGTAAATGATATATTATGTGAAGATTGCTGGCAAGATGACTCAGCAGAGAAAATGTGTTTGCAGAAAAGCCTGAGGACTTGAATTACAACCCCAGAACCCACATGGTAGAGGGAGATTTCATATATTCAAAATTGTCACTTGGTTCCACATGCATTGTGACATGTGTTGACCCTATCACACACATATATATTTTGAAAAAAAAAGGAACTTTTAAAACTTCTAAAAACCACGGAAATGTGTCATTCTATTGCACCCATTTTATCAAAACAAAATAACTAATATAATTTAAAAATCTTCCGGACCAGTGAGGTGGTTCAGCAGGTAAAGGTGACTAACTATAAGAAATGGTCTGAATTCAATTCCTGAGACTGCCTGGTATAATCCATTACTGAAAGCTGTCCTCTGACTACCACCCATGCTCTGTGGCACAAATGGGTGTTTTTGCACACATAAAGGGATGATATATAGGTAGATAGATAGATAGATAGATAGATAGATAGATAGATAGACAAATTGTTAATAAAAACAGTCAGACTAGATAAGAGAAACTTTCTTCTACAGCATATAGGAAAAAATATAGAAACACACAGCTAGACATTTACGGAGAGTGAGTGACCTTGGAACACCCAAACATCAACAGTGTATCTCTATCAAATCTCTTCTCCTCAGAGCTCGGGGAACCCTATGGAAGTGGATCCAAGAAACAAGTACACCAAGAGTACACCAAGAAACAAGAGTTCTAAATCAAATGGTGAAAGCTCATGTGACCTCATATATTGAAGCAGTAATTACAGATCCTCTCTGTATATGTTCTACCACGTTAGTGTTTTCATGGGACTCCTGAGTGTGAAAACAATTGGGCTTCTGATTTTTATACCATCTCTTGGACTCTTTTCCTTCTATTTGTTTGTCTTTCTAACTTTGATGCTAGGGTTTCTGATTTATCTTAATATATTTTATTTTGATATATTTTTAAAAATGATTGATTTAAAACCTAGCCACTAGGATGAAGATTAACAACATAAATGTCATTTATACATGCCAAGAGAGAGAAAATCATTTTTCTCCAACAAAATGATAGTGGTTATATCAACCACTTTAAGACATGCCTCCTGATTAGGAGTAAGTAACCAACATAAAATGGACTCAACAATATTTCTTTGTATGTGTGTGATTTTACTTGGTTACAGTTTGGAGGGGGTTTTTGTTGGTTTGTTTGTTTGTTTTGGTTTTGTCTTCTTTTTTTTCCTGTTGTTTTATATAGTTTCCTTGGTTCTGTTTTTGCTGTTGTTATATTCGGTTTTGTTTGCTTGTTTGTTTTGAGAAAGAAATTGAATTTGGTTGGGTATGGATGGGCAAAGGATCTGGAAGGACTTGAGGGAGGTGAAGCATATGATAAAATTATATTCAAATTTAATATTTGTTTTTAATAAAAATTTTAAAAATGATGGTTATCTTAACTGTGAGTAATTATTATAGAAGAGATAGGTCACACTTCTACATATTCTCAGCAACTAAAAAATAAAACACTGATTAAGATACAAGGAAAATTGGGACACATTAATATATCAGAATATAATCTACAGCTTAGCTTAGCACTATGGTGCATGCCTTGACTCTCAGCACTCAGGAGGCAGAGGCAGGTGGATCTCTGTGAGTTCAAGGCCAGCCTGCTCTACAGGCTGAGTTCCAGGACAGCCAGGAATACATAAAGAAACCTTGGTCTCAATAAATACATACATACATACATACATACATACATACATAAAGACATAAGAAAAGAATATAGTCTACCATTGGTGTGTAGAAGTCCAGGAAACTAAGATCAATTGAAGTATGTGCTGCTGCATGGTTTCAAGCAAGTCATTGACTCCTTTCACCTCGGCCAAAAAGGAAAAGCCAGAATCTGCCTCTATGGTACTCTGCTTTATAATACCATGATTCCCATATCTAATATTTTACAAACTAGAAAACCCATGGTGCTTTATGATCACTTCATTTCAACTAAAAAGCAAGTGAAGGAGCTCTAGTTTTCTGGGTATAATCGCTGGAGATTTTGTAACTCCTGCTAGATTCTCCTATTCTCGCGATATCCTCCTTTCTCTCGTGAGATCCTGTTGGTTCAGGCACTGGAAGCGTCATAAAAGTGCCCTTTGTCTAAAAGGGCGGGGCTAGTACTGGTATCTCATTCCCTTAGCCAGAGAGAGCTGGCGGTGGTATTACAGGGGTAACGGAGTAGACAACCCATTTAACCATGCAGGATCCCAGTGGAAACAAGGGTTGTAGAGCAGGTGGCGAAGAAGAAGAGGAGTGTATCCAACAAACATCAAGTACTACTAATGCCCAAGATAGCTCACAAAGTTCTGAAGCCGAGAATGACCATAGTTACTCCCCTCAAGAAAGCCACCAACAAGATTCTGGTAGCCAGGCTGTCCAAGGCAGCCTTGATTCAAGAAGCCCTGCAGAGGCAAGAGTGGTGGCAGAAGAAGCAGCCATTGCTCCACATGGCGAGCAGGCACCAGTTATTCCCGGACCCAGTGGAGATGCTGCAACAACAGCTGGAAGTAGACTCCTAGAGTTGTATCCTTTTCAGAGGAAGCACCTTGGCAGGGGCTATGGCAACATGAAGGCAAAACTCCAAATTGCTTTGGGAGGAGACTTAGTGTGGGGAAGTATATGGCCAACTAGAAAGGGGACAGAAGGATGTACTGTAGTCAGTCAATCCTGAGAACATACGGCTATAGAGACGAAACAATTTGATGCTGGCGAGGGAGGGGCCATTTCAGGGTTATGGGGAAACCTGGTACTAGAAAAACTCCCAGGATCCACAAGGATGACCCCAGCTAAGACTCCTAGCAATAGTGGAGAGGAACCGGCCATCTTCTGTACTCAGTTTGGTGACTACCCTAATTGTCTTTATAGAACCACAGCCGAGCACTGGGCCAAGCTGTAGGAGTCCTATTGGAGAAAGGGAAAAGGATAGTACAAGATGGGGAGGGGGCTGTCAGGATCATAATGGGAACCAACAGATACAGCTGACTTGAGCTCATGGGAGTACATGGACTCAGGACAAGGAGTTATGGAGCCTGCGTGGGACTGATCTAGGCCCTGTACACTTGTGTGACAGTTGTGTAGCTTGGTCCGTTTGTGGGGTTCCTAGTAGTGAGATCAAGACTTGTCCTTGGCAAGCTTGGCTAGCTTTTGGGAACCAATTCGCCTTTCTGGATTACCTCATCCAGCCCTGATACAGGGGGAAGGAGCTCCTGCCTCAAACTGATGTACCTTGATTTGTACAAACCCGTGGAATGCCTGCCCCCTTATCAATGGAGACAGAGGAGGAGATGGGGAGGGAGTGGATGGAAAGTGAATGGGAGGTAGAAGATGAGGGAGGGGAAACTGATCAGTATGTAAAATAAAGGAGAAAATGTTACTTAAATAAACGTAAAAAGAAGGCTGTAGGGTGTAGAAGACCAGAAGCATGGAAGAAATGTCTATGGTTGCCTTGTATGTCAGTCAAGATAAAATCAAGCACAATGCACCAAGAAATGGAATAATGGATAATACCTTAACCATATATCCCTCCAGTTCTGTAACAGTGCCATTCAGAACCGCTGTGGAGGCAAACATAGCCTGCAGATCCCTGGCTTCAAATGTCCAGCAGCAGCAAGTGATGGTTCAACAAGAGTTCACAGTGAATGATACCACCCTGACTGTGTCAGTTTGCCAGGAGTTTGGAGTTGGGGTGGCTTGATACTGGGGGGGCAATGCATATTCTAGGGGTTCTGTAATGAAGAAATTAGTAGATTAGAATTAAGCAGAAGATATAGTATTGTGCCAGTTCACAGATTCCTTATTCTTTCTCCTGATGGTATCTCCCTTTTCCCTTTTAGTAGGTGGACCACTGAAGATCCTGTTCTCTTCCGAACATCTATCAATGCCTTCCTCGACCAGCTCTCCCTAGTGATGAGGAACATCCCACGCCCAGTGTTTATGGCTGTTTTCAAACAAGGAAGAGGACGAAATAATGACCCCTAATGTGATACCACCCATAAGACAAGGCAAGGGATTTTCATGATTTGTCCCTTTGCCATCATATTCACTGTTTTGATCCTGTAACACCATACCAGTCAGTGTTACTGAAGAAGTGAATATTGAAATGAATAATGAAGAAAATAACACTGAGTTACTGTTTTTATTTTTAGCTATGGCACAAATCTTCAGGTTTTAATATTGTGTCCTTTGGTTGAAGGGGTAGCTTCTGGGATACTAATGTTCTAGTACTCCAAGGCAACTGACTGTAGAAATTGGAAGACATCAAACTTTTATTTTTAATTTTTTACTAGTATTATGTGTGTGCATGTGCATAATTGTATGAGTATATACATGAGTCACCCAACTAATGTTCAAAAGATACCTTTTTGGGAGTCCTTTCCTTCCATCATGTGGATTATTACTAGCAAACTTAAGACATTAGACGTTGGCAACAGCTTTTCATGAGATGAGCCATTTCCACAGCTTTGAGATTAACTTTTAGTGTACAAATAAACATATGCTAGAGCACTTACCTAGCATGGAAGAAGAGAAATTATTGAAATTTCTAAATTCCATAGTTAAAGGTAAAGAGTTTTCTTGATTCTGCAATTGTATTCATATATTAACTATACTTTGGAAACATGATTTTAGGATTAGTGTTATTTCTGTGCCTGAAAGGTTTTTCTTTTAACATACTAGCTTTCCAGTTTTTAACAAATGCTTTGAAGATGAAAATATAGCAAGCATCAGAATGTAATCATGAAATAGGAAAGGAATTCCAGTTTTTAGCTATTATAAAAATGTATATGAACACTTATTTCCTTAAGCTGGACTCTCAGAAACAGATTTAGTGAGTTGTATAAAACAGTTTTTGTAAACATCTCCAAATATACCACTAAAGCACTTTTGTATATGCCTTCCCATACAAACTTTGGTTCCAACACATCCTTGTCACTACTGTATTGTCTTCCTGACAAAATTAAAACGTTTGTGTAAGAGAGAACCCAACAACACAGAAACACCAATGTGAGGGATTTTTTTTTTTTTGTTAAATCCATGGCCTTACTTCAGAATGCTCTATAAGAGGTGTGGGATATTTCGTTATGTTTAGAACATAAAGGTCACAACTATCAGAGTTCTTTCCCCTGTTTTGTTATTTTTCAAAAAAGTGTTCCTCTGTGTAGCTTTGGAACTCACTATGTCAACCAGGCTGACCTCTGCCTCCCAAGTGCTGGGCCACTATTGCCTAGCTTCACACTGTTTTCTTGGTTCAGTCAGATTACCCACCTAGGTGATTATTTATCAGTAAAGTTATTTTTATTTTTTTCCATTCTATTCTAACCTGAATATCTTTTCTATTTTATTTTCCTTAGTTCTGACTTTTACTTTCAGTCCCTTCATCTGTTTCTAATACTTTTCAGGTGGGAGTTAATGCCTTTCTAAGTGCCCTAACCGCTGCCTCCTCCATAATGAGGCTTTGTGCATGAGTGGATGAGACATTTGTGCACAGGGACTAGACCTTTACCTGTAATCCTGTGGGGATCATGTGTGGAATGGTCCATTTCTGGGTTCAAGTTGTTTCCTTGCACACTATTCTCTACAGTTTTCTGCTGGAGCCTCAAACAGGTTCCTCTGTGAAAGCCAGAAAGAATTCTGTCACTTTGTAAATTCACTCTCTTCATCTCACAAATTACAATTGTCTTTAATATGGGGGAGAAGACCGGTATAGGGGCTATAACATGAGCAATCAGGAGCTACAAATTTTAAAGACCTAGGGGATAGAATTAAGGAACTGGAGTTCTTTAGCATACCAGACAAATAAACTGCCATGCTACTCAACAGCTGTTTTCTACTACTCTATGACAAGCTGAAGTGGACCAAGGATGTAGAGGGTAAGATTTATAGCTTTCTGTAGATGATGGAGTTAGTTATTAAAGATGTGGTTAAGAATACAGAGCAGGGAGTATATGCTCTACAACATAAAGGCACAGAGCAGCAAGTAATGATGCTGTAAGTGGGGGTTTCATTTGTGGTTCCCACTTCCTGAATGGCCCAAAACAAGACTCTACTTAAGGGAGTCAAGGTGTGCAGGGAACATCTTATATTTTTGACCTCTCCAAGATATCTAATATTCAAATATGCCTCAAGGACCCAGAGTAGAACAAGGCATTTACTTTCCTGGGATGGGGACTCAGAATTCAGGACCCTCCATCTCCTGAATTTTACCTTGACTTTCTGCTGGAGCCCAGGCTTAAGATAAACACAATATTCTGGAACAGTTTGATTATGAAAAGAGGATTTATGAGAAGAGAGAGACTGCTGGGATACCCAAGGCCTTACTTCTCTCTTGCAAAGCCTTTGCCTCACATATAGACTATTTTATTCCCCAAAGCCTTATCACCTCCAATATATATTCCTATTGCCTATCTTATGCCCTTAATCTATTAGCTCTCAGACAGACTTTTCAGAGCATCTCAAACTAATTAGAAATTATATAAAGAATAATAATAGTTATTGGGGCATAAAAGGAAAATCAAGCGAGAATATAGGCATCATAGTAACTTAAGAGGGTGTGCAAGGTTTTATGAGTATTTTTTTCATCAAGAAACTAGTTAAAACTGATTTTAAAATTTCAGAAGTAAAAGACAAAATGATTGAAAAATCCTACTAGCTATAAAAAGATAATTTCTTAAATGTCTTGTGTGTTTTATACTTATATAGGATGCACGATATTGAGTCCATGTTAGCCAAAAACATAATGGTAGTAGAGAAGTAATATGATTTTTAATCTCTTATACTCAATTTCATGCACATAGGCTTCAATATCTATTTTCATTTAAACTAGCTATAATTTATCTGTTTTAGTAATATTATTATGATACTGTGGAAAAGAATTTAAAGGCATAGTAGTCAGATTTGGAGCATAAAAACAAATTTAGAATTTATTTACAAATGAAAAACATCTTTTTACTTCATAAATTTTAGGACAGTTTCCTGCTTTAAGATTTTAACTATATGACATATAAAAAAACCTAAAGTGTTAAATTCTGAGACACACATAGAAAACACACCTGTTTTCATTCTTGCTCTAGATTTGTATGTGGTGCTTTAGTAATAACAAACACCCCAATCAATGCAATCTAAACAGAATTAAAGGACTAGAAGTCAATTATATACCTCCCCCTTTAAACTTTAAGTTCAAGAACTAATTTTCATTTATATTGTAGGCAATATGTCATAATTTTATATAATATCCTTCCTCAATTGGCATGAGTTGATGGGAGATGCCAATATGTATATATATTTCTCATACTGGTTAATAATAAAGCACTGTTGGCCAATAGGAAAGGAAGATAGGAGGGACTAGGAGACAAGGAGGAAAGAGGAGATAGTAAGGAGGAGCCAAGATGGAGAGTCGGGAGAAAGCAGTATGCTGGCCGGCTCCCCGGTAAGAGAAATACATAGATCAGCAGAAATGGGTTAATAATTAACACAGAGCTAGCCGATAAGAAACAAGTAACCTGGCCAACAGAATTATATCTAATACAGAGTCTCAGTGTATTATTTGAGGCTGGTGCAGCGGCGGGACAAGACTGGTCGGCGGGTGGAAAAACTGTACACCTTACAATGAGTATTATCTAAAAACAAAACAATTTTGAAATTTTTAATTAAGCAGTGTATTTATATAAAAAGGTTGGGATTTATGTCTGTTTTAACCATGTGAGCTTGAAAAAAATGATTTTATTCTTTTACCCACCAGATACATTTTTGATAACATAGGGTGGATAAGTACTTTCTCCAGGGTTTTATGATAATTCGACAAAATAATGGATTTGGTAATATAAGTGGAGTTCTTAGCTACCAAGTGTCTTGAGAACAGGCAGTTGCATCTGAAGGAAATGTACTCTATTTCACTAAGTCTGCTCTCTATTGCTGACTATTAGACTACACACAAACACACACACACACACACACACACACACACATGCACACAAGGCTTTTGTGTCTTTAAGAGGCTGATTTAAGGGAATCAATAAGAGAAATCAAAATGTATTTTAGTTACATCTCAAAATGGAATATTGTGAATATTTTCCACATGTAGAAGAAATTATTTTTGGTACTGTGGGTGGCAACAGTGTCCTGAATCATATAATAACTGAAAGTTGGCACCATTCATTATCATGACAATTTCAGAGCAATGGCCTTGTGACGATCACACTCACACTACAAATCGTAGTAAGATTTTTGTCATTTTCAAAGCATCCCGTCATCCAATCCTCCTTTTCCACTAATATTTCCAAACATAAACCCCTTTCAGAAGACTTTATTGCATTTCTCATTACACTGTTCTTTCACAACTAAATTGCAAGCTCCAGTCAGCCCCAAATATCTGTATCTGTATCATCTATATCTATATCTATCTATATATTCATTCTCCTATATTTTACTGACCTTCAGAGCGGATATTTAATTGCAGTCTACACAGAACATCAAATCATAACATAATATGATTTATCAGAGAATATGTGCTATGGAATAGTTAGCTTGGAACAAACTTAGGTTTTAAGTGACTGTTATAATGGTTGCATAAAAATATTCAGACATCTTTATAAGAAAACCACTAACTCTAAACTATATCCCCAGATGATTTGGGACAATCATTGCCTAGTATAATAAAAACTGTTTGAACATCTCGATTGTAGCATCTGGTCTGCTGTCTATCAGCCTCTATACATAGTAGTTTCAATTAGGGAACCTGGCCTGTTCCTTAAATGCCCCCATAGGACATGATCTAATTCTAAACTCTAATCTTCATTAGTATACCATAGTCTCAACCCTTAATCTCCTGCCTAATTTAATTTTGTTTGTCTATTCTTCTAGTCTGACCTCTATAAAACTAACTTTAAAAGGTTTTCTATTAGAGGTATTTTGTTTGAGACAAGTGGCATCTAAGGTTTCTGACAATAGCTAGGAAACATGATGGCTGAATTATTAACTGTGTTCCAAACCCATAAGCATTCA